TCGCTGGTAGGGGGCTCCCCAACCCTTGGAACCCTAAATTTCACTACAATGTAGAACTAGGAAATTATTCCTTTTATTTATCACCATTGTTATTGTTTTTTTAAAGACATCATGTTTTAAGGCAGTAAATGTAAAAGAAATCTTCTTAATTATTAATAGTATATAATATGTAAGTACAAAATCCAGAGAGCTTGTTAGGTAGGGGCTGTCTCAATCACCTGCTCTCTGGATTGGAACATGTGATAGTTTGTTTTAATTTATTACGTATTATAGGTGTTCTTAATAAAATTATGATAGGGTCTATATTTTTTTACATTAAGATGATTGATCCCTGTTATGTAACTATTTAAGCATTGAACTGTTTTTGTATGGTATTTATGATCTATTTGAATGACACAGCTTTGCAAGCAAACAACATAATGCGCGCTAGCTTTGGAAGTTAATTCGAACTTTTCTCTTTGCTCATTTTGTGAAGAATCCAGGCGTGAATGTATTTGTTGATTGTATGGGAACCTGACAACAGTCGGTATATTCTATAACATCCTCGTTATTTGACATGTCGTCAGAAACTGAGGAATGGTGGATGCGAGACGCGTGAAAGATAGCGTGAGTGATCTTGCGACGGAGCACAGGTTCGTTACAAATGTCAGAAATGTGTATGTGTGCTGTGACTCATATCAGTAGGTCTGTAATATATATATGTGTCAGTAGGTCTATATAATATGTGTATTTCAGACATTTGTAACGAACCTGTTGATCAGTGCAGTGTAACAGACGATATTTCTGATAAATTGCATGAGCGTTAAAATTGTTTCCATTGCCGGTATTGGTGATTTCAACCGATGTGCATTTTGTACGATATGGCAGACTTTGGTCTTGTTTTCGTTGTAATAAAAGTGTTTTTTATTTTGCACATAAATTTACAATGGCATTGTCAAATCTCACAATGCCAAGCGATATTTCAGCAGCCGTCATGTTTATTTATATTGGATATATTGTAGTTCCAGTCAGTGTTGTATTAATACGCTAAGAATTGTGTCTCGTGATGCATGGTAATTAAAGTCCCATCAACGACACAGCTTTCAAAGACGCTATATAGTGACAATGCCATGCAAATGTTTTTATACGGTGCAACTATATACTTGTACGATGTAATTGTGATATGTGACACTATCATAAACACAATTTACTTGACTTGACTTGTGTATACCAAAATTTTGTACAGCGACCTAAATCGTACAGGTAACCAGTGCAATGGATATAGCACAGGTGTGATGTGCTCTCTCTTTTGAGTACGAGTAACTAGCCGTGCTGCAGTGTTCTTGACTCTCTGCAGACGACTAGTTCGTTTGTCAGATATACCACAGAGCATGGCGTTACCATAATCCAACCGAGAGGTTACAAGCGAATGCATCAAAATAGTGCATGCATCTGCAGCAATAAACTGCCAGATACAGCGGAGGTTCCTGATCTGGTAGTAACAGAATTTGGCAAAGGCGTTTTATCAAAGTATACCCCTAGGTTTGTGTGTGGATAATCAGTATCATTTGTCACAGGTAAAGCTACTGGTATACCTACAGTGATTGAGTTATCTGTTTTCAGATTGTATGTACATACTAATATGATGTATAACACTATAACAAACCAAATCAATTTAATAAAATGTATTTTAATCCATAACATCTGTGACCACATACACTCATAAAACCATAACTTTACAATCTTAACAAGTCCATTCACTAATTGTAGTCAATATAAATATAACTAGCATTGCTACATGGCTGCTTGACCCAACACCTGACTTAAACCGTGGACACATTTAACCTTGTCAGCTATATATATATATATGAAATGGGTATTCTAGAAATAATCAAAACGACTGCCAATTAACAAGACATAAACATGCAAACACTGACCACTTCACACCTAGTCCAACCCAAAGGGGCATGCAGCTTGAACTTAAGTAAAACTTAAACAGAGAGTTAGAAACGAATTTGACCAAAGATGGGGTCTGCCACAGTCACGATGAATGTGAAGCCAATCTAATACAAATTTGACTCCAATACACGTTAATTATACATTGAAGGTGAAGCACATTTGTCTATTTCCTGCATTAGTTGGGCAATATTCATGCTATTCTGCCTACACTGATCACAATGACAGGCTTAAAAAATTCCAACCAGATGTCAATTTATAAACGTGCACCAGTCGGAATTTCACAGCCAGTTATTATGGTCAGCATGAGTGGACTAGGATCATGCTACTATCCCCTCTTGTCATAAACAACTGTATATAGAGCTTCTAACATAGCCTTTTCATGCTTATACGATTACTCTGAGGGTAACATGTACTGTAGTCAAGGTAACATGTACTGTAGTCAAGGTATCGTGTACTGTAGTCAAGGTAACATGTACTGTACTCAAGGTATCATGTACTGTAGTCAAGGAAACATGTACTGTAGTCAAGGGATCATGTACTGTAGTCAAGGAAACATGTACTGTAGTCAAGGTAACAGGTACATTAGTCAAAGTAACATGTACTGTAGTCAAGGTAACAGGTACTGTAGTCAAGGTAACAGGTACTTTAGTCAAGGTAACATGTACTGTAGGTAAGGTAACATGTACTTTAGTCAAGGTAACAGGTACTTTAGTCAAGGTAACATTTACTGTAGTCAAGGTAACATGTACTGTAGTCAAGGTATCATGTACTGTAGTCAAGGTAACATGTACTGTAGTCAAGGTAACATGTACTGTAGTCAAGGTAACAGGTACATTAGTCAAAGTAACATGTACTGTAGTCAAGGTAACATGTACTGTAGTCAAGGTATCATGTACTGTAGTCAAGGTAACATGTACTGTAGTCAAGGTAACAGGTACTGTAGTCAAGGTAACAGGTACTTTAGTCAAGGTTACATGTACTGTAGTCAAGGTAACATGTACTTTAGTCAAGGTAACAGGTACTTTAGTCAAGGTAACATTTACTGTAGTCAAGGTAACAGGTACTGTAGTCAAGGTAACATGTACTGTAGTCAAGGTAACATGTACTGTAGTCAAGGTAACATGTACTGTAGTCAAGGTAACATTTACTGTAGTCAAGCTTTGCCGATTCTATAGAAGTAATACACATATTAGATTAGTAATGAAATGTATAATATTAAAGCATCATTATTAAAACAGTGAAGTCAAGTTTTGTCATGTCAAAATTTTAGAATTATTTTAAATTTGTAAGAAAGAAAGGGGTATTGGTGTTAGAAAGGTCCTTTTGAGCCAGTTGAATTCAGCAGTCATTTCTTTATAGTAATTAAATGAAGAATGACACACATTGGGCCATGAGAGAGGGGATATTGCAATGGCTGCTGGTATAACAGGAGTGGGAAAATTCAGAAGAGTGAATTCGAACCTAGAAACTGTAAACCCCAGATTAATGGTTAGACCAAGGTAACTTAGCTATCCTGTCTCTTTAATCAACCAACTTTACTCCTGATACACAAGTGGAACTCGACATTCACATTGATGTGTAACACAGATAAATCACCAATATAAAGCAGTTCAATACATTTTTTTCTTCAAAATTTGCATGAATATCCTCAAACAATTACAATTATCAATTTAAATACGAATTTAAGTCAAGAAAGACAATCCGTAAAAATGATGTATAAATGCACATTATAAGGCTAAACCTATGTTACAAATGTTTAACCTTTTTCTGAAAGTAACAAGTCAATTATAAATATGTTTTTACTGGGGTATAAATCTGAATATCTTGTACATATGTTGTGCATGTTAAAGCTGTTCATCTGTAACAAATAAATATAATCACATCTGATAAATTCCTGGGTAAATAAATCACAGAATAAGTGTAAACATATCATTTGTAAAATGCTTTGATAAGGTAATATGTGTACAGTGTGCACACATATAACAGAGTTACAATACTTCTTTACATTGACTAAATTAAAACAAAAACAATATAAGCTTGATACATAATTCTAGAATACTGTGGGATTTGTTTTATACTTTCTGCCTACAATTTAATATGAAACTGAAAAAAATATAAATGCTTTCAGAGCTTATATCTAACAGTGTTTAAAGTAGGATACCTTCATAGTACGATAACTTACAAATAAATAATATAATCACATACGAATGTAGTTAAACAAACAGCTGTATAAGATTTGTATTGGAAACTTTGCGCTTTTGTGACAAAAGAGTAATGGTGTCTGGATCGGTCAGTACTCATATTCATGATAATGTTCCCATGCTTCATACTAAGTCCAATTTGTTTTATTCTGGTAATAAATTAAAAAAAGCTTCAGTTATTTGGAGGAACATTGAAGAGACATTAAGTCAATGCCGTTTTCAATGTTTACACTTTAAGTTTTCACCGTGTCACATAAACTTATGCAAGTTCTAGTTTCTTTGAGCACAGAATCCATGCTTGAGCATGAGAACGGTTTCATAAATACGAATCAGGACAGTTATCAGTGATTTGGGTAGTTACTCATACTTCACATGTTAATGTTATGAACCTGTTCCCAATGTTTAATTTCACAATGCAAAATATTTCATTTCTTATAATTTATCTGCTTTATGCATAGTGTTTTCAACTATGAGACATGATGGAGTTCTTTCCTACCTTAATATTTAAACCAATACTTCGAAGAATTCTCAAGGTTCATGAAACTTTTAACTAAGAGGTATGTAGGCGTCATTTTTTTATCTTCACAGCTAATACTGCAAACAATCTCAAGATAATTATGATATTAAATCCCTCATAAAAAAGAGCAAATATACACAAAACAACATCAAACAAGTGACAGTATTCGTACTTGCCAACTTTTGACATTTCCATGGGGGAGATTAGGGCTAGCTTAATGGCAAAAATAACATAACACTTTTAAATAACCTCTTTTGAGCTGTTCTTTCAGATGAAATCATCAGATCTTAGAAAATAGGAATAGTAAAGGGAGTTCACTGGTTGAAAATGCTCAATTTTAGGGTCCAAAGTCTCCCTCCAAAATAGGGAGAGTTGGCAAGTATGGGTATTTCATTAAACATGTACATGAGTTATAATGGGCAGTGATCTAACACAAAATAACTTACTGGGTCAATGTCCCCGATACCACACAGCTAGCTTAAAAAAAGGATTTTATCTGTCTTTGTTTAAATAAGTCAACTATAAGATATTCTGACACTACTTTATAATAGTTGCGGTACAGGTGACTAAGGGTTTTAATCCCACTATTATAGTTTTAACTGCACATATCCCTTAGCATCCAGAACATATTCTCCCTAATTATAATATGATCAATAAATTCTGTCCATTTTTGTACAAACACATTTCTCACAATATCTGATAAACTTTGCCATTCAATGCCATCCGATGTCTCAGTGAAGAGCCCTAACATCTTCTTCATCTTCAAAATCATCCTCATCCTCTCCATCATCCGTCATCTCATCTTCCCTGGAAAATTTAAACATGACACATTGTCATTTTCCTGTTTTAGTAATAAGTGAAGTCATAATTCAGACAATATTTGATCTAAAGCTTTTGTTTATTTCTCTGAAAACTTTTGCATTAAAACAGTACTTATGTTTTTCATTTGTTTCATTCCAGAAAAATTTTCAAGTATCTTCGACATTTTTTTTGTATTACCATGATAACATTTGAACAAGGAAAACATTCTCAATTGGAGTTTTTCCTGCACAGATTTTTTTTTATTCTGACTTATGACTTCGTCTAAGGTTGAAGTTTGTGTAAACTCAGTCAAAAAACTTTAAACCCAGAAAACTGCACACATTCAGAGCCCTAAGATCTACCTTAATCTGGAGTTGATGTCGTATCCCTGGTCCTGTTGACTCATACGGCTGAAGGAACGAGTACTGTCTGCACTTCCAGTGCTGCCTGAATCCCCCATCTCCATGCGAGAAACCTTACCATCAGCTAGAGAAAGGGAAAGACATGGGATGATTTAAATATAATTCTTATATCACAGCCCTGTTCCACAGCCCTGGTACATATTCTACAGCCCAAACTACTTATTCTTTAATAGTATTTTGAGGATGAACTGACAAAAATAATAAAAAGAAAACCATCAAGGAAAACCGAAGGATATTACATTTGTACATTCATCAATATTCCATCCTCGTACATCATCAGTGTTTCTTTCAATTAAACAGCTTCTCTGACTTAATGGTACCCTTTTGTACCGCCATCGGCAATGTAAATCCTAAGGTATGTTACAATTTATGCGTTTACATCAAATTTTACCTCTGATTCTACTGTCATAACATCATGGTCAGCGTAATACAACAAAATTAACTTGTGAGAATTATGTATCAGAAAGTGTCTTAAGTGGTGTCCAGGAATTAATCTTACTCTCCACAGACCCACGAAACAAATTAACCAGGGAAAATGAAGGAGTGATAAAATCTACCCTTAAGTTTGGTTATCTTTACTTAGTCAACACAGAGCCACAGAACATACACAAAGCACTGTCCATTCTAGAAGACCTATTGTAGCAGTTAATTGCATCAGATTGTACATGATATTCACAGATCATTGGGAAATATTCATTGAAATTATTCGCTTGAATGAAACTGACTCTATTTGTGAATTTTCTGTCATGCATTATCACAAATATATAAACCAAATATTTATTAAATGAAAGTTATCTTGGACAATCTATTTTTGATTCCATGATACATTGATCCTCAAGTCTATACCACCAACCCTTGCCATCCAAACTTTTTACGATCTTCTCCATTTTACCACCCAAATTGGAGTTGAAAAAATCATGTCATTTTAATGAGTGGACACTATTCTTTGGAACATTTCAAGAAGGAAGTACATTCATTCACTAATTTTGAAGATTTATAAAAGCACAAATAAGACTTGAATGACAAAACATCAAAGTCAGCATTGCTGAGTAAAGCCATGATCTGTACTACCTGGTAGGTAAACACATCTAGGAATCATCCTTCTCACAGCAGAACTGGCATTTTACAGGTGAGTTAAACCAATGTGGTTAATCACTTTAATTTCAGGTGATTACCTGTGCCCACAGCTTCATCATACCTGTAATCCTTCCCGTCTCCGAGGCAAGCTCCCATTCCAAGTTGTCCAGAGTTTCCTGGTCTTCTAAGAAGGTGGATTCCCGTTGTTCCTCTAGGTCATATGTACTCATGTCTTCCCCGTCCACAACTGTTAATATCAAGACATTCAAATCACACACAACGTATCTAGGGAAAGTGCTAGCTTTAGATAAAGTTACTGCAGATTTATAGAAAAACTCACTAATAAAAATTTGATATAAAAATATAGAGATCTCAGAGGGATCTTGGCGCCCAACACTGCACCATCTTCATTAATTCTATGACAGTTTGATCTTTTCTCTTCTTTTCTCCTATCTGTTTTAACGACTCATGTAAACAGTAAATGCACCTTGAGGTAATTTTTTTATCTAAACTTCATAATGCTGTGTAAAAAAGACAACTTTCAAAGTGAGTTTGTCATTTCACATATTTACTAGGATACCTATGTCATGTTCTGTTTAACTATGTCATGTTCTGTTTAACTATGTCATGTTCTGTTTAACGATGTCATGTTCTGTATAACTATGTCATGTTCTGTATGCTGACATCTCATCTTAGAGGAGGGCAAACTATGGCAACACAATTTTGTTATAAAATTATAAAGATTTATCTTACAAATAGGCTACTATTCCTCCCAAGTTTATAACTATGACTGTACTTGTCCATACCTACACCCTTGATTCCCAGCATCCTCCCAGATCTGTAACCCAAATAGTACTTGACCTATAGCCCATACCTTTCTCTCCTTCCCCTTGGCACCTAGGCTATTGACTTCCAAGCATCCCCCTAGATCTGTGGCCTGAATAGTACTTAACCTATAGCCCATACCTTTCTCTCCTTCCCCTTGGCACCTAGGCCATTGATTTCCAAGCATCCCCCCTGAATCAGTGGCCTGAATATTACTTATCTTTAGCCCATATCCGTCTTTAATCATCATGGTTCTGTGGCTTAATTTGATGTAAGTTACCTATAGCCCACATTTGTCACTCATCACTCTGGGTCTGACCTCGACTGTGCTAATCTATAGCATGTGACTCTCACCTGTTTCTTTGGCCTTAACAGTACTTAATCTCACACCTTTCCCTTACCCATGGATCTGTGGTCATAATATAACTTTCCTATAGCCTTTAGTTAGTTGCAAGGATTGAGCCAGCAACTTATCTTCTCGTTTATGTTTGGTTGGTTCCATTATCCCTTGCTTGGATACCTAATTACCCAGTATATGCAGGGTGATAGGAATAACTACGTAAGTACTTACTGCCCAGCCTGTGATCCTTGGCTGTATGTACTGTTAGCTGTGAACCCTACCTATATATCCTGTTGGGCTATTAACCTCGAGTGAACTTTCTATAGCCCCTGATCCTGCCTGATACTCCCAGTCTAACCTTGAAAATACCAATATTTAGTGTAGACTCCTGCCCATCCTCTCTGATGTGTTAACTTGACTGTATAATACTTACTTATAGCTCGCGACTCACGCCCGTCCTCTTGGACCTGTGACCTTGACCGACTGCTAGGACGAGGGGTGGTGCTGTTAAACCTTTTGGTCACACTGACTGGTCGCGGCGTGATGTCCTCTGGTCGGGGTGTGACTGTTGATGACCTGACAGAGAAACTACTGCCTGGTCTGTCAGAGCCTCGATTCCTGTGACTGGCAGATCGGGAGGCAGAGCTGCTGGGACGAGGTGTACCACTGTCGGGGCGTGACCGTACACTACTACTAGGACGGGGTGTGGTTACTTTTAGATTTGTAGGTGTTGGTGGTAAGTCAGGGAAGTCATCATCTTCTTCTTCTAAATCATTTCCACTGTTTAAACATTAAAAAAATACATGGAAAGTCAGAATATGGTATCAATAACATATTCGTAAAATTGAGCAATTTTTATCACAGAAGAGTATATAGAATATATGGTATACAGTATATGGAATTAAAGAATAAAAAATTATGTGTAGATGTCAATATATATAACAAAAGTGAACAATTTTTCCAGTTTCAAAAATACATCTCCAGATTATTTACATAACCACAATAAAACCTCATCAATCCAACCACAACTAATAGAGTTATCAAACATTCCAGCCAGTAATTTCAGGTGACAGAAAGGCCTCATATGGCAACCCAGCCATCTTTGTTTGGAATGATAGAGGCTAGATTATCAAGGCTCCAATGGTTAACAATAAGTTGGTGATGACACTTTTACATTTTTTTTTAATTTATCTAACTATGTGTTGTTTACTTTGAATTCACTTACAACTGTAATTCTGTTTCATCATCAAATGAGAGCTCCTTGGTGAGAAGAGACACCATGTTGGCCTCGGCCTTCTGGGTAATGGAGTCCATCTCATTGTTGATGAATGATAGGACACTAGCCCGCCCCCCAAGGTCAAGAGGGTTTGGTTGGTCTGTAATATCAAGAGGTACTGGTGTCGTCGCCTCAACCATCTCCATGGCAGCATCGTCCTTCTGTATGCTCTCTGTGTCAACATTATCTGCCAGGCTGCTGTCAGGACGCCATGATCGGGGGGCCATCTGGTACACTGAAACATAAATATTACATACATTGTCAATGAAACATATCCCAAATCATTTCTATTTTCAGGACATTAGTTTTAGCTAAAATTACAAATAATGACAGCATCATGACATATATACCGGGCAATTTTGGCTACAGTTTAACTTTCGCCCTTTCAGATGAGGGCCAACTTATCATGACAGCAAAATATTTTAACACAATATGTAATATATAAAGTAATAACATTTGAAGTGTGAAATTAAGACTAGGCAAACTTGAATTTTATTGGAAAAGGGCAATTATTAGATCAGACTTAAGTTTCCCAGTATACAGTTTTTCCCCTTCCATTGACATTTCAACAAATTTGACAAATTTCTGACCTGGACACGAGTCTAGAATGCGTCATTCACTGCTGACTAATGTCTTTCTTACATGTTCTGATGTCGACACTGACCAACTTATTTACATTTAACATTGACCTTTCTCACACTATCAGTTGACCTTGACCTTATTTACTTACACTGACTGCTGACCTTGACCTTGTCAGTACGACTGTCCTTATGTTTGGATGGTGTCATTGTTCTGTCCGTCTGTTCTGGTTGCACACCGAGCATGAAGAATTCATTGAAGGCTGAGCTATAACTTTTCTGCTTGTCTCCTAGACTGTCATCTTTGTTCATCATGGCAACATGGAGCAGGCCTTGACTAGGGCCCTTGGTCAGCACACCCTCCCTAGATTAAGACATGGGATACATAACTTATAGATAACAAGAATTTGCATTATCCTGTGTAACTGTGAATCATTTAATTTTAGTGAATACTTATATATATTATACTGTGCTTTTATAATATGTGAGGATTAGAAATAAATGGTCAGATATAAATTTCCATTATTTACATGAGACTGAAAAAGAATTTGCCAAAATTTAAATAATGTTTAAGTGTAATTACCTGTGGAAGTTTCCTCTATTTTACATTTAGGAAATCAGATTAAAGATCAACATGCGAAACTCTTCCACCTTTTGAATATGGCCTGAAGAAATTTACGGAAACCATGCTCAATTTTGCAGAACCATGACAGAAACCAGTATAATTTAGAAACCTGTATCAACAAGATCTGAGTAAATAACACTGAAATCTGTATAAACCTGTATCAACTAGATCTGACCAAACAACACTGAAATCTGTATAAACCAGTATCGACTAGATCTGACTAAATAACACTGAAATCTGTATAAACCAGTATCGACTAGATCTGACTAAATAACACTGAAATCTGTATAAACCTGTATCAACTAGATCACAGTAAATAACACTGAAATCTGTATAAACCTGTATCAATTAGATCTGAGTAAATAACACTGAAATCTGTATAAACCAGTATCAACTAGATCTGACTAAATAACACTGAAATCTGTATAAACCAGTATCAACTAGATCTGAGTAAATAACTATGAAATCTGTATAAACCTGTATCAACTAGATCTGACTAAATAACACTGAAATCTGTATAAACCTGTTTCAACTAGGTTCTACCGTAAAATACAGAAACCTTTAAATGGGCAGTCAACTAGGTCCCACTGTTTACCCCCCTCCCAGGTAATACAGACACTTGTGTTAACTGACATGGACTGTCAACTAAGTCCCACTGTATAATACTGAAAGCTCACGGTATAATACTGAAATTTGTGTAAACTGAACTGTCAACTAGATCTCAATGTTTTTATCCAGTAAGCTGCAGTGTAATCTAGACCATCATACATTCTTTGTGTATTGAATTCCAAAACGAAAATACACACATCTTATTGGTAATACAGGAAGGAATCAATTTATTAGTTTACGAATTTGGAGATCTGATAAAATGTATTATACATGTGAAATGTGATCAATTGGATGACACTTACCCTTCCATGCGGGAGCCTGCCCGACTCCTGGCCCTGGAACTAGGGCGTGATATGTTGTAGCTGTTCTGACGACTCTTGGTGCGAGCTGATGATTGTGGTCGTGACTTAGCAGATGACTGAGGCCGAGATTTAGCACTGGACTGAGGACGTGACTTAGCTGAAGACGATGGTGGTTTTGTTGTTGCTGTATCTATCATTGTAGGAGGCTGTGTTCTTGATGTATCCGAGGGTGAATATTCAACGTAACTTTTCCTAGCCCTATTGTGCTTAGACTTGGCAAGATTGGGCTCTTCCTCCAGAGGTGGTTGGACTCTCTCATAGTCCTCAGGATCTGGGGATTGTATGACTGGGCCAGTCTGAAGGCGAGACTTGGATTTACCACCAGGTGTCCTTGGTGTTCTGCGTGATTTGCGTGATTTTGGTGGTGTGACGTCTGTAACCACATTTTGATGATAGTTTGAGGATGATCTGCATGAAAAGAAATGAAAAACTGTCAGTAAGAAAATGTACATACTCTCCCCATTCCTCAGTTTTCATTAGCCATAGTTCCGTTAACTGAGTTTCTACTTACAAAAAAAATGTTTTCCCAAAAAATGGTGGTTGTATATGTTATGAGAAGGTCAGATTAAATATTTTTTCATTTAATTGTTTTCAGTTGGAATTCAGTGTCAATATGAAAATCGAAATTTCAAATTCCTTGAAGTATGCTAACTAGTGCCTCCTCTTACAATTGATATTTCCAGCCAGCTGTATTATTGACCACAAATACCAACTTCAAGCAGTTAAATGAACATATCTAATAATTTCTGGAATATTTCAATTTACATCAAACATTATCACTGTTTCATATAAACATGTTTAGTGGATAAAATAGCCTCTTCAACAAAAGGTACACAACATTATCATTGTTGTTTTTAGTCCACACTTACCCATTCTGGTTCAGAGTCCATGCTTGTGGATCATCTAGCTCCTGAACCAGACATGCTGACGTCTCCTCCACTCTCTTCATAGCCTGACAAAAACATACAGGTAACATTAATGACATTGAGATTTATATACATTTACTCCAACTTTACTTTGGCTGAGTTGCTTTTGTGATATTAAGTGAGAAATTACGTGTTCACTTGAGTCACAGTTGGTAAATCATCAAAGAACGGGATTAATACAAGTTTTCGAAACTTGATGCCATATCCTTTTCCATTGTGTCTATAATTGTACAGGTATTTATATGTCAAAGGAAAGAAATAAAATTTATACTCAATCATTAAGTCATTTCCAGGACTGGAGTTTTGTACCTAGACAACTACATACACATGGTTTACAATGAATGATTTATCTTAATCACAGTTATCAAGGCCAAGATACTTAAATCTGGATGTTAATATTATAAGACTCTTTCATGCCAAGGGGTGTAGGATAGGAAAATTCCTCCCAGTTTCAAATTTGAGAGATGAGAGAATGAGAAATGAGAGAAATTCCATTTCTTTATTAAACTGTTTAATTAAAGTTACCAAACCAGACCAAAATCTGGAAAATTATTAAATGTAACACTGATGAAAATGTTCATGCTAAAAGTACCAAATGATATGACATCAAAAACATGTAGCAAAGCTAACACTATCCTCTAGTTTTACCGTGTCACTTACAGCTTAATTAATGATCAATCTACGTATAGAAAGCAAATCAAACTATTTAATAAAATATCAAGAAATCCTCATTGATATTACATCATTCAGTTAATTATGTCAAAGAAGTAACGAAATAACAATTGTTAGACATTGGACTGCAAATTTTCTGATTTAAAAAAAAAAATGTTGTTATAGAAAGATCAAAGCATGTCCTTACATCTTGAATCTAATTTAAAAAATAATTAATGTCTTGAGAAAGGAATCATCTATATAATTACCAGAACACTTGACTATTTTAAAGTGAGTTTGGTATGGTTCATATAATCATCAGAATTATAATTAATTGCCATGTAATGTATAATGTTTGTTAGAAGTGTTATGAATGAAAAATCATAGTGTGCATGACAACACTGAATATATTGATTGGATTATACAATTATTGTGCTTTTTTAAAGAAATAGGAGTTAATTAATAATAACTGAAAAACTGAACTAAATGTGGATTTTTCTTATCCAACATGTGTTGTGTGAAACTAAAAATCAAAATTAACACTTAAGGTAGTATTAAGGTGAGGAAATTTTGAGTAACTTGTAAGTTATCTTCATAGTGCATACAAAACAAATTCAAGTGAAAAATCAATTCTATGATTATCAATGATCACAAGTGGCCACATACACTTATAACATGGGAGACCATTTTTTACATCACAAGTGATACAATGTATGTAACATTATTGTGATGTCAGTATGAAGGACAGTAGTAAACATTGACAGATAAACAATGGCCGCTGGTGATTAGCATCACTATAACTCTTGTGCTTCGGACTTTTGTTGAAGACGGACACTTACTGTGTGGTATTTCTTATTTTCTATCACACTGTCCTGAAGTCAGAAAAATCTTAATCATATTCACCATTGTAGTATTTTGTTCAAGTTTGTAACACAGCCAATTAATCTGGCTTTTGCTAGAACTTATTTAACCTTGTAAGAAAAAACTTAAAACAGAGACAATACATTTGTACCATTATGCAAAAATGACCATACGTACTGAGGAGAACATGTTGCTGTTTCAAACATCAGATGAACAATATCTTGTCTAAAATTATTTAATTGATATTATATTGATGGCACTGATAGGACTCGGACATTCTGAATGAGAATAATTATTCAGTAGATAATGTGACTGAAAAATATTTTAAGGGAGATAACTCTTTAACATAAATTGCATGTATGATCATGCTGGCTCTAACACAAAATGCAGGCATTCATAGGCATATAATACTATATTATTTGATTTAATATTACAAAGGCACACTAAATGTTAACAATATAAATGTAAAAATTTAAGAAATAGGGCCTGTTTTATAACAGTGCAAGTAACAAAAGGTGACACTCTGTTCATGATAGTGGTTTACTGGTAATTTCATCACGTCATGAGGCAGAACAAAACTTCTAATAGTTATTACAATGAAGCATATACTACAAGTATACTGACTCTTTAGCAAAAAGTGCATAAATAGTGTTTTTCTATAGCTGAGCACAAAATAAATCAAACTATTTGGAGGGGGAATGCTACAATTGATTTCTGGAAAAATAAAGTTAGCAAGAAAGAATATACTAATTATTATATAGAAACTATTTGTGTCTGATCTACATTTAATTTCTGGCCCAAATAGTTACTGTAATGTGATTCTTAATACTTACACTATTACAGTACATGCTTCTCGGCAGCTAAAATATTTTTTATTTTTAAGATATACAAATGACTAACGTATTCAATCACAGCATTGCAAAGTTTTAATTTAGAAATGTGTAAACAAATATTTTACCATTGAGCCTGAATAAAAAATGAAATCAGTGTGTATATGTGCTTTTCCTCGGGATGACATTATTAAGTTCTGTTGCATTAGGTAACAACAGTTGACATAATGAGAAATCCATCCATTAGACTAGTACCAGAGGTCACATGTCAGATTCAAGGGGTTTTATTGTACTACAGGTGCTAGAAAATTGGGATTTTTATAGTATTTCAACTGTCAGAAAACAGGAGACATACAATTGCCAACTGTAATCTTCTACTTACTGGGCTAACAGCATCGCCATCTATCTCCTCAATGGTCATTCCCCCACTGACTGATCGTGATGGCTGGCTGGACGCCGACTCAGAATACTTGACCGCTTCATACAGGGATTGGAAGTTGACTGGTTGTACTGAAACTAAAATACATATCTGAATATAAAAGGTTGTCAAAATACATAGGTTTCCCTGGCAGATTTGACAACACACAGAACCCTGGTACTGTATTGGTGTTTGATATAAGAATCATGATGTTAAATGTATGTAAGTCTCAGATTCGGACTTTCATGAATCATGAATCAGATTCGAAATTCTAACTTCAATGGGACAGTAAAAACTCAATAAGTTAAAACAGTGTCTATGCAGGGTCTTACATTCGTCTTCTCTGGATGAGAACAGTGGCTCCACCCTGGGTGTGGATGGTCCAGCCAGCCACGGGTCCTGACGTGGAGTTTGGTGCTGATCTCTGGTCCTGTGATCTCCAAAGGGGGTGATAGACCTGGACCTCGGGTCAGGCTCATCATGCCCCTCCCAGTCCCCCAGTCGGGGTGTCGCCATCTTACCCACCTCGGTCCTTCTGTGCTTTTTCAGTAAAAGTCGATCAGCATAGGACATCGTAGAAGTGAATTTTATTTCAATATTTTCTTTTTCTTCTACTGTTGATGTCCCAAACTCAACTTGTACAGCTGTGTGAATAAAAAGAAACAAAAGTTATTGTTTTGAGTCTAAGATCTTTTTTGTTAAACAATCTGACCCTCCTTTAATACTATTCCATACTAAAAACGTAACTAAATAAAGATCAGTAGTTTTAAAAAAACCCATGAAACATGATATTATATTAAGGACCTATGAATAGTAAATACTGGAAAATCCCATGCTTTCCCTGTGCCGACCCCCATCCCCACCCCATCCCTCCAAAAACATGCATCTAGTTTTCTATTTATAAGAAAATAGAAACAAATCCATTTGACTGAAATAACAAAGAATTTAATTAACTAATTCACAAGTATATTAAACAAACTTTTTCTTAAAATAACCTTTTTGTGAAAGACTGAATTCAACGTATCAAGTTTTTTACCAGGTAAGCTTTATGTATCACAATATTTATATACAGAACTTTGTTTGATGTTACACACAAGGATATCTCAATTCCTAGTTCATCTCTGAATTCAAATAGAAATCTGATACAAAGGTTTAATTTAGATTTCTCAAATACCCAATTTTTTCATGATACAGTCGAACCTCGTTATCTCGAACTCTTTTAACTCGAAGACCCTGTTTATCTCGAAGTATTTCTCCGGTCCCGGCCAAATCTGTTCTTTATCTCAGTAAATAAAACTCTGATAATTCGAACCCTGAAAAGTCGAAAAACTCGGATACCTCGAAGTAAACTATTGGTTTCAATAGCGTTAATCCAACGTAGTATCCAAATTTTATTTTGTCACTTGTTAATTCTTTGATACAAATAAAACGCAAAAGTACGACATTTCGCCATTCCGTGTTTATGAAGATCTTTCGTAAGTAGACTAGCATGAAAACAGTAAAAAAGAATTTACGATAAAGCTTAGGGCTGTTTTCATAATAAAAAAACAAACTGCATCAATGTTGATCAACAGTAATCTGTACTTACTGCGAGTCCATTTAATGATTTGTGAGTACACCTAAACAGACGACAGTGCAAACCGGAAAATTGGTCACAAAGCGTGGTCATGCATAAAAGAGTTCCACAGTTAAAATCACAACCTAGGACAGCTTTACGGGTTCATGTTTTTACAAGAGCCAGTATGGCTTTGAAAGTCGATCGAGAGATTTAAGAACAAAACGATAATTGCTGTTGATTACATCGGGTTGAGGAGGTGTCAGGTGTCATATTTGGCTTTAATGAATCCATGTGTCACATGTACGATATAATTTGTTTGTGTTTTCATTTACAGAATCAACTATGCGTACGCTCCATTACAGGGATTTGGGTTAGACTTGCGCACTTTCAATTACATAGCTGTATTTGTTATATTGATTACGTATATCATTTATCGATTGATTAAAAGCATTAACTATTAATAAAACCAACAACTGCTAGTGCTATGTCCCAACAGCAAATTTCACCAAATCTATGAACCCGCATAACTCGAATACTCGGATAACTCGAAGTTTCCCAACGATCCCGTCGACTTCGAGATAACGAGGTTCGACTGTATCTTGAAAAAGAAAATCCTTTTGCAATTGGCCTAGGTCATACAGATATAAAGTTTTGACTTACTTGGAGTTCTGACAGGAGAGTAGGCTACCTTCCTGGGACTGTTACGCTGCTTGGGTGCCGGTTTGGGTGCAGATTTAGGTGGGGTCGTTGGAGCATCACCGGTTCTCCATGCCAAGAGAGCCTGCTGAAAAGACGCTGCACTCTCAGCCTCATCATACTCCCCTCCAATCAGACCGTTCTGATCAAAGGATCCACTGGCTCCCTCCGGGCTGTTACGGTCCCTTTGTGCCTGAATGACGTCAGAAACAAGAGTAAACACTCGGGAAACAAATAAAGTGAAACCTAAATAAAAAGAGACAGAGAGAGACAAGAAACAAACAAACTTTTTGTGGAACCAATCGTTCTTAAAAAATATATAGCTTTATCACTTTAGGAAACACTTATCACTTTAGGAAACAGATATTCCATGAATTTAATGAAATTCAAATTTGCACTTTGTTTTTTTACCATGGAAACACTATGATGTACATAATGTAGGATCCGACATCAATTTATCAGGGTTACATGTAAGTTCTGATAACTCATCATTCCAGCCAATTGTTGAAATGCCCTTTGGTAATCTCAAAACATTTTATAGTATATACCAGTACACCGTCCAAGTTTGAATGAAAGGTCCCCAGAACATGACCTCTGACTCATGAGTGTTCTTATATCTTAACATAATGGGGTATTGCACCAGAAATGGTGAAGGATTTGATATTCTAAATATCATAAATGCATAATATCAATGAAAATGTGAGTTTCTGATTTTTAGACTTTGAGAGGTTATACACTTTACAGCATAAACCCACAAAACATAGGTTTCTTTATTTGCTGGAAGGCTAAAACATAGACTTTGTAAAAATTGCAGCATAACAGTTTTTTTCTTTTTATTCTCTACAGTAATTTTTTAATTACCCGAATCTTTGCAAGGTACCGGTCTTCAGCTCTCTCTGCTGGGGGTGGGGCATGGAAATCTATACTCCTGGAAAAGTAAGAAATAAACATGTAAAGTAAAATCCTCCATACCACTCTGGACGTGTCTTTGACTTATAATGTATACAGGCTGCTGTGATTGTGCAATGACATCATCAAATATCCTTGTACGAAACATTTGAGGTCACCAACTGAAGTGGCACAAGAAACAATACAAAAATGTCACAAATTCAAATCCATTGCTAAAACGGTGGTATTTTCCTTTGATTTTTTTCTGTTTTGAAACAGGTGGCTGACTTAACAGAATAGCCTGTTGATTGTTTATATGCCACAATGTTGACCTAATACTTGGTTTGAAAAAGTAAAGCTGGTTCAAAGTTTCACTGCTAATTAGTCAGTGACAAAAATATTTAAGGAACTGAGATTGTATGAACAAATGTCCTTTAAAAGTACATGTGTCATTGTCATCCACAATATCTATTATTGATATTGTCATCCACAATATCTATTATTTATATTGTCATCCACAATATCTATTATTTCAGGTACAATTTTTCCAACTTGATGATTTGACATATGAGGTTCCACATGGAAAAACTCTATTATTTCAAAAAGTTTACAGACTATTTCCAATTATAAACACATATCAGACACTGAAATATTTCTTTCAATTTTGCAGTGTAAGAGAGTTGAGCAGATGATAAGTTGTGTTGTCTATCAGACAATATTACTTACCTGTCTCCATTACTTGGCTGTGGGGGTCGTGGTGACATACACACCCGGGGGCCTGATGCCTGGTGATCAAAGTACAATATAATTACCACAGATATTATTAAAAAGTTTGAATTTATTTCTTCAAATGGAAAAAAAATAATCATGCAATAATATTAAATTTCAAAATTCTAAATATTCATTTTTTTATTTTTTAAATTTTATTTTCCATTCAAAATTATTATTTTTATATTACACTAGGTCATATAATCCTGAGGAAGCCCTTGTGTGGTTGAAACCAGTCGACACTACATATATAAAACCAGAATTGTCTGCTCCTTTGCCTTTTCCAGTTGATTCTATGACCTATGTAACCAATTTTCACACAATTTATCAACCCGCAAGATTCGAGTATCTAGACGAGGGGCAAAGGATAAAAATATATATCCATCATTGAAGAAACCACTGCGTCTGCTCTAAGAAACCACTGCGTCGGCTCTATGAAACCACTGCTCCGGATTTTATACCCACAGAATTGTTTTAATATTTGTTATTTGTAATAAGTTATGGACTTTTCACATCCATCTCATGCTCGACTTACCGAGAGAGGAACTGATCTGTGTTTCTTTAAGGCCCCTCTGAGATGGAAGGCAGCAAAACAGCTGGCACAGTAATGTTCTGAGCACTGTACACATGACTGACACAAACATTGAACCATCAATCACACATTAATCTGTACAAGTTTGAATTTCATAGTAAATGAACATTTTTGGGAGGATTAAAATGAAATGTTTACTATGATAAGAATAATTTCTACTCTGCAATCATTACTCTGTGAAAAACAGAAATGATATCCACCTCAAATAATAATATACCTAGTGCTCCAATTTTTTTTTTATAGAATATTTAGTATCAATATTTTTCAATAAAAGTGCATACCATATAGAAATTTACTTCAGCAATCAATGGTATTTTTTAATTCTTCCACTCATATCATCTCATATTAGAACTAATGGTAAGACCTAAGTCTGTCCTTCTAGTATGTACTGACCACTGCAGCCTTTTTCTCCTCACACTGACCACACTTGGGCCCCTTAACGTTCCTACTTCTGGGGGTGAGTACAGCGTCTTGTTTAGCTATGTATGCCATAGTGCCAGGATGTTTGGGCCTCTCTGGTATATCTAGAAATAAAATAAAGTGTTTGAATTTTTATTTCTCATTTTTTTTTTTTTACTTATGACTTCAAATTATTTAATGTGCATGAGTATGTAAACACTTTGGTAACATCAGCGTTTGAAACATTAAATATTAGTTCACGTACTATGCCTCATTGCTGATACTTATATTATCTAAAGATAACTTGTTTTTATCATTATTTAAAACCAGACCTAGAAGACACATGGTGGCTCTGTTAACTTTTCAGCATGGCGTCTACACTATCAATGTATTATATTTTTCCTAGTCACTTCACTTTACTTCCAAAAATTATGATCATGGGTGATGATAATTTTCTAAAACGTAATGATGGCTCTGATAACCTGACATGTAGTTATGTATAATAGTGTTTCTCTTGTAAAATAATCCATAAATAATCAGTTCAAAGTTGATGAGCAACTACACAAAATATAACATGCATGTATTTAAAAATGTTTCCAGTACCAGATATATCATTTTGATGAACACTACCAATATTCAGTGGTTTTTTTTACTTTTATTGTAACTATATAGTAAATAAATAGTAATCAATGTGTTTACTTTAATCCTGTAACAGTCCTTAATTAGTATTCTTGACCCTATTATTTGCATAATTATTGTATCATGAACAAAATTTTACATTTGGTACATTTTTTGATTACCTAGAGTAATTGACCATTGAGAGTATCCGAGACATTATTTATGCTAAACTACTAACTCACCTAATGGTGTATCTTTTAGTACTTTTACTTTCCTCTTGCCATCCTGTCAAGGGAAAAAAGAAACGAGTATGTTTCATTAAAATATGTTATGATATAGCCAGTGAAAATTTATCTTGGCTATAGAGGACTCAGTGTTGAGCATGAGCATACATTTACTTTGACTAAGGGAGTCTTGGCGTGTTTGGTGTTAAGTGAGTAATGCTTTACTTTGACTACAGGAGTCTTGGCGCATTCAGTGTTAAGTCAGTAATGCTTTACTTTGACTACAGGAGTCTTGGCGTGTTTGGTGTTAAGTCAGTAATGCTTTACCTTGACTACAGGAGTCTTGGCGTGTTTGGTGTTAAGTCAGTAATGCTTTACCTTGACTACAGGAGTCTTGGCGTGTTTGGTGTTAAGTCAGTAATGCTTTACCTTGACTACAGGAGTCTTGGCGTGTTTGGTGTTAAGTCAGTAATGCTTTACCTTGACTACAGGAGTCTTGGCGTGTTTGGTGTTAAGTCAGTAATGCTTTACCTTGACTACAGGAGTCTTGGCGTGTTTGGTGTTAAGTCAGTAATGCTTTACCTTGACTACAGGAGTCTTGGCGTGTTTGGTGTTAAGTCAGTAATGCTTTACCTTGACTACAGGAGTCTTGGCGTGTTTGGTGTTAAGTCAGTAATGCTTTACCTTGACTACAGGAGTCTTGGCGTGTTTGGTGTTAAGTCAGTAATGCTTTACCTTGACTACAGGAGTCTTGGCGTGTTTGGTGTTAAGTCAGTAATGCTTTACCTTGACTACAGGAGTCTTGGCGTGTTTGGTGTTAAGTCAGTAATGCTTTACCTTGACTACAGGAGTCTTGGCGTGTTTGGTGTTAAGTCAGTAATGCTTTACCTTGACTACAGGAGTCTTGGCGTGTTTGGTGTTAAGTCAGTAATGCTTTACCTTGACTACAGGAGTCTTGGCGTGTTTGGTGTTAAGTCAGTAATGCTTTACCTTGACTACAGGAGTCTTGGCGTGTTTGGTGTTAAGTCAGTAATGCTTTACCTTGACTACAGGAGTCTTGGCGTGTTTGGTGTTAAGTGAGTAATGCTTTACCTTGACTACAGGAGTCTTGGCGTGTTTGGTGTTAAGTGAGTAATGCTTTATTTTGACTACAGGAGTCTTGGCGTGTTTGGTGTTAAGTCAGTAATGCTTTACCTTGACTGGAGGAGCCTTAGCAGGTTTTTGGCTGAGTACATCGGAGGCGTAGTTGTTGAGGTTGCCAGTCTGACCACGACTCCAGTATCCTCCCCCCTGTCTCCTGTACTCAACAAAGTAAAGGTAATTGTCAAGGTTACTATAGTAACAGTTATCAAATCAACAGGACAGTCAAAATACAACATCTTAAAACAACTTTTTTTCATACAAGATTCATTAAAGACGTCTTGGAAGGGTTTTTTTCACTTAGAGACAATGATGCTACCTGGCATTAAGGCAAAAATAATATTCTTGGCCATTGATTTTCTAGTCTCAATATGAAAAAAAAGCTTTCATGAAACTTGCTGTAATGTTTTTCATATAAATGAAAATTACAGGAATTTTTCTGAGATTCTGTAGAGATTGAAATGGCATTTGAAAAATAAAGTCAACAAAATGGACTCTGATCAGCATTGTTTTACTGTTAATTACATGTAAATAAATGAACATAGTGCCCTATATAATTTAGAAAACTACTCTGAGGATATAAATGATAAGGACTGCGCTGCAGATATCTGATTTTGCCGTCTTACTCTCTCTCCTCCTTTTCCCTGTTCATAGCCATCCTCAGCTCCTTGAGCCGCTCCTCCATCTTTTTACTCTCCGTCTCTAGGAGTTTGGTTTCTCCTTTAGCTTTCCTGATATTGCTAGACAAGGAAGTAGATATGTTTATTTGTAGAAGTTTGTACAAAATCACACAGTATTTGTTCCAACTTATATTATAAGGTCATTTCAATATTGTCGTTACTCAAATGCAACATATCTAAAAATTCTGTATTTTCCTTTTGTTTGAAATACTCATAGACAACTTTAATTAATGCAAATTCACCTTTCCAGCATTTACCTTTATAAAAAGAAAAAGAAAATAAAGGAAAATGAATAGATACACTATATATAGAAAATGTCTGTCAAATCGGTAATTGTTACAGGTAGTTTAGTATTTGACCTTACAAACATTCGGTGTGTAAAAGAAAAGAAGCAATATTGGAAGAATGTGAACTGTCAAAAATAGTTTATATTCAATTACAAGTGGTTCCGTAATGCAGGGTTTCTTTGCAACATCGGTAAAGAACATTTATTTATGAAAACGAAAATGCACCTAAAAGACCACAGGGACATGAATTGCTTTCTTTGTTTGTAAAGGGAAAAAAAACATCTTTGGGACCCTTATTAACTTTACAAATAAATAAAGCATTCCTCGTCCCTGTGTTACAGACTGATGAGGTAGGAAACACTATCGTGGTTAATGAAAAGCTGCTAAGTAAAGGTGCACTATAAGGACAGGTGTACTTACCAAGGGAATATGACCTAATTTGTACGGTGCATTACTTAGATTAATTTAAGTTTAGAGAAATTAGAATCAGGAAACTTCTATTTGATTTTTCAACTATTAAATCATCTATTTTAATTTTTATTTAGTCATCATCCTTTTTCGGAACACAACAATTCACAATACCCAGAAAAGATAACATATCCATTTATAATGCTTAAATTTGTAAATTGTACTAAATCAGTGCCTTCCTTATTTACGCTTTTTAACAGAGTGTTCCAGCCAAGAGTAATAATGGAAAAAAATATGTATAGATCAACATTATAACATGTGACCATTCAAACGTCTATTCTTCAATTTGAAGTCAACTACCGGTATTTCAAAAGTTAGTGAGATCACTGCATATTAGAAACATTTCACCTGCTGTGATAAACAGAAGGAGAAAAGAAAAGTGAGAAGATGGTGAACCTTAGAAAGTGTTCAGCAGAGAGAACCTGTGATTTCTTGTTGACTAGACTGTAGTGGAATGTAAATTCTGGACCAATGCTAGGTGATCCGGCAGTATTATATAAACATTAAACATGGTAGTACTGTACAATAAATAAGGATATTACATGCTTAACAAAAGTTATTACTTATAAATCTTTCATACTACAGAAAGGCGTAAACTGATACTGAACATGCAAAACAATAATAATCCTGGTTGTGCACTGTTGATGTGTTTGATCAGCGATAACTGTTCAGTATATGTATGCTAGGGTCTCTGGAATTCATGTATTTTTTTAGTTTTCAGAACTAAAACAAGAAAGTCTTTAAAATAGGAAAAACAACAGTGTTTGCTTTGAATAAGGAATACAGGGAAAATAAATAGTGTATTGCATTTCTCAAAGTGTCTTATGTTTCCCCAAATGATTTTTTTTTCTTAATAAAAAAAAAAAGTCTTAATCGTAAAAGTAAAAAAATGGCCTGAAAATTTACAGAACTTTCCACTAAATTCTTCCATACATTTTCATTCTAACTGATCGAAGAAAGGTAAGGGTACACCTATGTGTGTGCATGCAGAAAGGAAAGGTCATGGTAAAAATTTCCAGGAAAGGAAAAATTTCCTCAATTACTTACGTATAATTCGACCTGAGAATAATTAAAATTTAATAGAATGATATGCGTATAATAACAATTCCTGGATTTTTATTCCAGCAGGTTGCAAATACTTGAAATTGAAAAGATTATGTATAGAGTCAGGAAAATTGCTTTCTATTCTCAATTTTCCATAACTTTTCATACATTCCCCATATTTGAAAGATTTGAAAATTAAATGTAGAGTCTATAATCCTGATCACTGCCCATGTATCTGGATAAGTAAGGTTCCACATTGTACACAACAGTAATTACTCGTTATCTAGTCTAACTTGCTGTTTGCCATGGTATGGTTCAGTTGATTATTCCTCTATTCTAATGGATAAAGATCTGTCAAGTGTTGACCTATATAAGTAGACGATGGTGGAGTCAACACATTGTTAGCAGTGGAACACGAGAATGCTGTAACTTAGCAAACTTACATAGCTTTAAGTTTGGTGGAAACATCCTCCTTTTTGTTGGTATTTGTGTTGAATCCAGACATAGTGCTTGGTTGGTCTATTCTCATCTGTACTGATACTCAAAGATAGGACATGAAGGTTTGGTTCCTGCCAAAAGAATAAAACAAATTTGATATAATATAAGATGCTTGGCACTGTTTTGCAAATAAGGTGTAAAACCAAATGTATGGTAAAATTTGGAGAATCCATTGCTTCAATGAAACTTGCTGAATTAACATACAACTTAAGAGATTCATGGATGATGAAGTTAGCCAGAGAAAATGTTTGACAAAATATTGTTTACTCATTATTAATATGAGAATTGTTCAGCTTATCCAGGACTAAAAAGCTACATGTATTATGACAGTTTCTGCTCTTTTCTAAACAAATGAATTTGTTCAATTTTTTTTTACCATACCAAATAAGAATAAATATTTAATTGAATATATCCTATTAATGTCTGGCAGGTTTCGCAAAGATTGGTTCAGGATGTGGGGTTAATTTTCATAGTGATTAGCTAATGATGATTCCATCAGTTATCTATTTATAGTCACAGGTGTACTCTAGTTTCATATTTGGAAAACTGAGAGCCATTTCAGAATACTATACAGATCAGGTTGTCTACATCAACACCAACAGATTAATCTGTGTCCTTTATATGTGTATAGAAACACAAGTCATTGAGAATATTTTGTATTAAAAAAAAAATATTATATAAAGATGAAAGTTGTTTTATAATTGATTTGCAAGAACTGATCTGGATGATGTATTATCAGGACACAGTGCAATGCTGAGTGGTGGTTTGTTCCTCAGGCGATCAGTTTCTTGAACTACATATAACATGATTTTGTTTTATTTCGGTCTTTCAGATATTACATCAGTCACAAACGGGGATACACAATAGCTATGCCCTATCTGATTACTTACTTCAGGTTTTCCATAGATATTTCTGTTGGATCCGAGTCGTTACACCCCAGTGTTTTTTTACCAAAATTTGATAACAGTCTGTTCTCCATTATTTGGGAAACTAAAGCATTATTTTAATGGAAATTTGGAATATATTCCTATTTTTTTGTCATTTTGGGAAAATAATGTATGTTTTAGCTAGGGGAAACAGCCTGTATTCAGCTGTAAAACTGAGCAAAGAAATCACTACTTCCTAAATCCTGTTTGCACCAAGGTTAATTCGCCTTAATATAAATATGTATTTTAAGTTATAAAGATCAGTTGAAATGTTTTTAATGATAAGAAAAAGTCCCTGTTTTCATGTTTCACTAACAATTTGTTGTCGGAAGAATTTTATGCAGGTGTAATAGGATGAGGAATAGTGATAAAGATAGTGACATCACTAGGGATTGATCCTGTGACACTTGGCTCTCCAGCCCGTTGCTCTACTGCTGAGCTAAAGGGAAATTCCCTACAGCTGACACTTGTAAGGCAACCTAATCAATGCTCATCTTTTACACAGGTGTACAATTACTAGACCTATACCATTGTATGTGCAGATCTCGTAAAACATATGCTAATCTAACGAGTCTAATGACAAAAATTAGGCTTACAGAGACTTATGAAAACTTCAGTAGAGACTATACAGTATACATGCCATACAATGATACACAACTAAACAGGACAAAAAAGTTTCACCCTGATAATATTTGGGGACGAAACAACCTAGCGCGAAACAACCTGGGTCGAACAAGATTAATGGCAAAACAACCAGACACCTACCACAATCGCCATCACTGTCTATGGATGGAGGGAAACAGATCGGAAAGGTGTTTATTTGTCCTTGTTTATTGTGTTGTTATCACGATACCGGCGTACATGTCCAGTCAACACAGTAAACATACCAGATTTATTTATTTCAGTGCTGTTTAGCAAAAGTATCTATTTTAATTGTAATAAATATATCTACTTACTGTGACTTTATCTTACTATTTCCTCTTCATATTGTTTGGAAAGGCAATAAAACCAAGAATGTCAAGAACAGCAAGCGTCCTCAGCAACTAATGATAAAACATGACGGTTAGATCTCGCGAGAGTTAATTTTCTGATCAGAGTCTTATAACTGCTTAATAACAAGGCAGCATCAATGTAAATAAAAAGCTTTCTTTCAACCTTGATTTACATGCGGCCTTGAACTTTTTCAATAAAGCACCTTGCTTTGCATTGGCGTAGATTTGGAATTAAACCAAATTTACGGACCATGCCGCCCATCGAAAGTACTCCGATGGTGGTTGTGCCAGAGGTAAAATCAAGCGAAGAAGTTGCAGCAGCTAAACCAGTAATTGGAATAATTTACCCACCTCCTGAAGTGAGGAGTATCCTTACAATTGTATGGTAAGACGTTGGTCGGACGTAATGGTACCCCNCATGTTTTATAATCTATTCGTCAGATTTCGGATGATACGTGTAATGTAATCCAATATGGATAGTCAAGTGAAAGGAATTCAGGTCGTTTAGGTACTTCTGAAAGTCGTTTCGGTACTTCTGAAAGTCGTTTAAGTACTTATGGAAAACACATTTTGGTACCAAGTTATAGTCAACGTCACCATTATTTCAATAACTTCCAAGTATAGCGGGACATATATATATATAACATGTATATATAATGTATTAAGAATAATTATTTAAGAATAATAATAAGAAGAAAACACATAACAATAACAATAGGTATTTACATCCAAAATGGAACGCTGTCACACAGCCGAAGACATGATGAGTTTTTTGATAAATTTGATAGTGGAACCCTCATTTTTATGACAAGTTGGTGAATTCCCTCAATGTTGAGTTTCTCCTAAAGAGCTACTCTGATCTACTCAGCTGCTCAGTTAAACTAGAAAGTAAACGTTATATAAACAACCAACTATAAATAACAAATGAGAAATATTTATTAATAAAGGAAGTACCGAAACAACTTAAATACAGGTACCGAAACGACTTACAAAAAGTACCGAAACATCTTCTTTTTAATCAACTTAAAAGAGAAATATACATCATATGTTTGTCAAATTTTAATCAAAATAAAAAATCCTAGTTTCAGTAACAGGTAGTTTCGGTATCTTCAATAATTAGAGAAGAATGTTTCTGAGGTAACTGTTACTTCTTTGTAAAGATTTTTTTTACTGAAGAATCAAGAATTCACATGACACAAAATACGGACAAAGTACACAGTTGAAATGTTAATCCAAGTTCTGGAAATTAATAAGATATATAAGCGGCCTTTGGAAAGTACCGCTATACATCAGAACAGAACCCTAGGCTTGCTACGGAGAAATCTGAAGATTACATATACTTGGATCAAGACACTAGCATACAACGGCCTGGTCAGACCTTTGCTGGAATATGCATCCTCCGTATGGGACTTGCACACCCAGCACAACATCAACAGCATCGAACACATCTAGAGAAGAGCTGCAAGGTATGTCACAAACCGTCATCATTACAAGTCCAGCGTCTCTGATATGCTTGGGTGGAAACCACTACAAGAAAGGAGGAAGGAAGCTAGACTAGTGATGTTATATAAGATTTGACAGAGGTATGGCTGCCATCAGTAAAGAAAACGGATTGCTACCACCAAGACGACTTGCCAGAAACACCAAAAACCAGATCCTTTCAACTCCTTACCTGCAGGACTGATTCAAGAAAGATGTCTTTCTTTCCCAGAACTGTACGTGACTGGAACGCCCTACCACCAGACATCACAGATGCAGCCACACTCTCTGCCTTCAAGGCCAGACTGACGAAGCTTTGAAACCCTTAAAGCTTCTTTTATCCTGTTATTAACCTACAAACTTATTTTAACAGTGTCAGTCCAGTCACATGTGAAACTGTCACATATTGCAGAAGTATATTTTTGTGTACCGACCGTGTGGTCATGTGATTATGACCCTACTATTGTATGTAAAACAAAGAATTACATAAACAAGGTTCATTTGGAAGCAAATTGTGCTCCATATATGCTGACATTTAGTGCCAACACAGAGCTGGAAGCCATTTTGAAAGGCACAGAACCTTCTAAAATTCGGAAATATGCGGGTTTAAAAAAAACAAAAAAAACATCAAAAAGTTTTGGGTTGGGGGTAAAAAGCTAGGGTCGGTCGGAAACCTCAAACAGACATATTTTTTTGTTTGGCCTTATAGAAACAAATGAGTACTGAAATGTACAGGGTAGACCCCAAAAGTTACATTATATCAGAAAAAAACCAGATTTTGTGAAAACAGGAATGAAAGTAGTCTCATGAAGTTTCAATTTTTTCTGTTCACAGTTATATCACGGTATCAACATAAGACACCAGAAAACAACACTTATTCTGAACAGAATGTACATGTCTAGTTTTCAAACAAATGGCCTTGTTTACTTTTAATTACATGTGTACATTAGTGTATATTTTGCAACTTGTTTGCCAAAGTATTAATCCTGGCAACAGGTATGGTCATGATCACTACAAAATACAAAAGTATCATTATCAATTTCCTTATATGTCTTAAATAAATCAACTATTGCCTTCAACTCAAGTCATAAATGAATTCTTTTGGATGTAAAGCTATATGAGAAATTTCTACTCTGTAATCTCTATGGACATGGTTGTCAACCATCGTAATATTGTGACTGAAAGCAGTTGATTGTCTTCATGTTTAGGTTTGATACTGCAGCTTATATAATTAACAGCTCACTGGACTGTTATCACATAAATATAAACTTAAATTAAAGACTATGTAAAAATAATATGTTAACACACTATGGATGGAGACACTTTTAGAACATTCCAGGATGATCATTACACTTGGACAGGTGAGGTGAAATGGTAAGTTATTTTGTTGATTGGATTAATAACTGTCAATATTTCTGTATAGATCTGTCTTTTTTTATTAATCTTTAACCCTGAACTTTAGATATTGTTGATAAGACTGCAAGCTTTGTAGCTAGAAATGGTCCTGAGTTTGAGAGCAGGATTCGTCAGAATGAAGTCAATAATCCAAAGTTCAACTTTTTGAACCCTGCCGACCCTTATCATGCCTACTACCAACACAAAGTGAAGGAGTTTAAGGAAGGCAGAGGTAAGAGAATTCAGATTTTGTTTCTTGTTAATACTAATGTACAGGTATATAAATGATAGTTTAGTAGCAATATCTAGAATTTAAATCAGTATTAATAGTAATGTTGCTGTATAATTAATTACCATTTTTAAACTTTTATGTTGTGATAATGTATTTTGCACATATCAATATGTATGAAAAATATATAATATTGTTTCTATAATCTAATAGTACTTGCCATAAAACTTAACATCAATATTGCAGATATTTAATTATTTATTCTTGATTGTTTTGTAGGACAAGAGCCTGCAGCACCAAAGGTAAATATTTGTAACAACTTGAAAAAAAAATGATATATGTGTTTTGTGTACATGTAAAATATGAGAACATTCCATTTAAACTAATAAAGAAAACCAATTATTTTATATTTAATTTTTAATTTTTAGTATTTAACTACTTTAAAGGCATTGAATCAATTAGAATAGAAAAATAATGTTAACAAATGCTTTTAGAACTGATAGTTCATTGTTAGCCCTAGCATTTTTAAAGTTGGATCTGAAGTAGGAAATGACATTAGTACTGGAATAAAACACTGATCTTTTAAAAAGTTGCCTGGAACAGTTTTGCTTCAGTTTTAAATAGGGATATGGCATCAACAGGAACACTGATAGTGTCTGTAATTTAATGTGCAAAATTTCGAAACATTATCTATGGATTATAAAACTTTTTGTATAAAAAACTCTAGGCAAGTGGTGATTGCGAACATGTTATGTTTATGTATACATTTTGTTTTGTGTGTCAGTTTGGAGGGCAGTTGCCAGGATTACAGAAACCTTTACTGGAGCAGGCCAGGATCATTGATATACCTATCATACCCACAGAGCCACCATCAGAGTTTGAATTTGTCGCTGATCCGCCGTCTATTTCAGCTTTTGATCTGTAAGTGAATTCGTCTTTTCCTAATTCGCCTGTAAACTATTTGACCTGGTGTACTTAGAGTCAGTAAAAATGTGAATTGTTGAAATGGATTACTTTTTACCAAGAAAGGTAATTAACTATTCTGTAAAGTTTAATGTATGTCTTAATATCCTGGTCTACAGGGATGTGGTCAAGTTGACTGCCCAGTTTGTGGCCAGAAATGGACGCCAATTCCTCACCAATCTGATGAACAGGGAGCAAAGGAATTACCAGTTTGACTTTCTCAGACCACAGCACAGTCTCTTTAACTACTTCACCAAGCTTGTGGAGCAGTACACCAAGGTTTGTAGTTTATTTCACCAAACTTTGGAGCAGTTTTTTTTATTTTCAATGATGTACAATAGCATACATACTAACATTTGCTGTGCATCAATAAAGGAATACAACCATGATATAAGAATTGATCCAGGGGTCTGGCCCCACCTCTAGGGACTTAATTTCCTGAGCCATAACTTTAAACCGGTTGGGATATCCACCTCATAGCAATTTACACCATTGCTGGGTATAAAGATCCAGGTGAGCGAAACAGGCCTTTTTCGCCTCTTGTTTCTTTGTACCATACTACACAGCCCAATGACTCATACTGTACATTTTCTCCAGATCCTGATCCCTCCCAAGGACTTGCTTACACAGCTCAAGTCAGAGAGTGATGACTACCACAAAGTGCTCAACCAGGTCAAATACCGCGTGGAGTGGGCCAAGTACCAGGAAAGGGAGCGCAGGAAGGAGGCAGAGGCCATTGAGAGAGAAAGGGGTCAGTAGTTTATAGAAAAATAAACAAGCCTTTCTGTTAGTTATCATAAAATCTGTTCTGCTCCTTTCCCTTGGTAGATAAATACCCTTCTGCTGATAAATTCTAACACAAAAGCTGTGAGAGGTAAAACATACTTGTGAGAGGAATTCATTGAAGTAATTCACTTTGAATTTCGAACATGCCACAGTTATTGGGATGTCAACAGCAACATAAGTGGCTACTCTATGAAAACTCAAAGATCAAATAAACAGCATGTCATCATTTTATCTCTTTGATGCTTAAATGTTTGGTTTTTACGTTAAACACCAACTAAAAATTGTTAACATTTGCCTTCCACAGTGTTAACATGTATTTGTAACCCGAAATCTATCTGATCCAACACCTGTCTATAACCCGAAATCCATCTGATCTAACACCTGTCTATAACCCAAAATCTATCTGATCCAACACTTGTCTATAACCCAAAATCTATCTGATCTAACACCTGTCTATAACCCAAAATATATCTGATACAACATCTGTTTATAACCCGAAATCTATCTGATCCAACACTTGTCCATAACCCAAAATCTATCTGCTCTAACACCTGTCTATAACCAGAAATCTATCTGATCCAACTCCTGTCTATTATCAGAAATCTATCTGATCTAACACCTGTCTATAACCCAAAATATATCTGATACAACATCTGTTTATAACCCGAAATCTATCTGATCCAACACCTGTCTATACCCCGAAATCCATCTGATCCAACACCTGTCTATAACCACCAATCTATCGAATCCAACACCTGTCTATAACCCGAAATCCATCTGATCTAACACCTGTCTATAACCCGAAATCTATCTTATCCAACACCTGTCTATAACCCGAAATCTATATGATCCAACACCTGTCTATAACCCGAAATCCATCTGATCCAACATCTGTCTATAACCCGAAATCTATATGATCCAACACCTGTCTATAACCCGAAATCCATCTGATCTAACACCTGTCTATAACCCAAAATATATCTGATACAACATCTGTTTATAACCCGAAATCTATCTGATCCAACCCCTGTCTATAACCAGACAGAAATCTATCTGATCTAACTTCTGTCTATAACCCGAAATCTATCTGATCTAACACCTGTCTATAACCAGAAATCTATCTGATCCAACCCCTGTCTATAACCCGAAATCCATCTGATCCAACACCTGTCTATAACCAGACAGAAATCTATCTGATCTAACTCCTGTCTATAACCCGAAATCTATCTGATCTAACACCTGTCTATAACCAGAAATCTATCTGATCCAACACCTGTCTATAACCCGAAATCTATCTGATCCAACTCCTGTCTATTATCAGAAATCTATCTGATCTAACACCTGTCTATAACCCAAAATATATCTGATCCAACATCTGTTTATAACCCGAAATCTATCTGATCCAACACCTGTCTATAACACAGCATAATGCTGTAATTCTGTTCATAAACTACTTAGTAAATCCATGTGTTCTGACAGCCTGTCTAATCTAACCATACATTTTTTCAGTGGCCTATGCACAAGTTGACTGGCATGACTTTGTAGTGGTAGAAACAGTGGATTTCCAACCAAGCGAACAAGGTAAGGATGAGTATTTATGATTGGTTTGGGAAAATTATCTTTGAAATCCTAGCTTCATGTCTTCACAATCTTTTCCTTTTATCATCAGCATAAATTTTCTTCAAATCAGTAAAGATACTTGCATCAATTTGCATCTGTTTGTGACAATAATGGCTGAGTGTTGTATCAATTTTCTCAGGTAACCTGCCACCCCCGACCACACCAGCTGAAGTGGGAGCTCGTGTGTTGGCCCAGGAGAGAATAGACAGAGGAGAGGTTAGTCCAGCAATTTTAACACAAATAAGATTTAAAACATAAACAAATCAGTATTTCTGCATATTTCAAATGTCATTTCTTCAGCTTTTGAAATTTTATTTCTGAATTTGTTTTTGATACAAAATATATGGTGATAAACTCAAGATGTAAATAGTTCTGATTATTACAAGTCACATCATTCAGCTAAACAGTAAGGTGTAAACTACCCAAATCATTAAGGGTGATATCAACAGGTTATTACAAAAACTCATATATATGATATCATGTGTTTCAGAATCCTTTGTTAATAAAGGAAAATTAAAACAAAAATTCAAGCTTGTTTCCCATAATATGTTGGTGACAGTATCTTTAAACATTCTAAATTTCTGTTGTATTGGTTATGTTAAGACTTGGTTATGTTCTGTAATACATGTGATACAACATGCCAAAAAAGCATTTTATAAAAGAATAATGAAGAAAATTATAAGTTACAATATATTCTTAGAACTGCAATATATTCTTAGAACTGTAACTCATTACTGTTTTTGCATTATCTGATTTTAGGTAGACGAGGGAGAGGAAATGGAGGTCGAGTCTGATGACGAAGAAGAGGTTGAAATAGAAAAGAATGTTGGAAAGACACGAACAGCAGAAATAGAACTACAGGTAATTATACAGCATAAGGAATTAATTGATGTTCGCTTTGCTGAAAGGTCATTTGTGAATCTCAAGTTTGCATCCAGTTTTATGTACCTCTGACTGAAATAGTTTGCACTGATTTTACATGATTTTCTTCCTACAAAGATGGCTGTTCCTCAGTTTGTTTAAAATGTATTTTGAGCCAGATGAGACTACATGTACAGGGAATGATAAAATTATATCATCTTTGTTTTTTTAACTTAAGTATAAGGATTGTAAATCTTTTCAACATTTATGATTATATTGAACACAGTTCTGTCCAAACATTTTCTCAGTTGAAAAAATGCACATCATTAATTAATAGAAGATTAGTTTTCTTTTCTCTGAGGGGATCCATTCTTCCTTCGTACTGGCTAGTGCAGAGGGAACTGTGTCTGTGTTAGAAAGTAGAGGTATCTACTCAAGATTTTGCTTTCTTGCTTTTTACTTGATGTCCAGCTTGTTGACCATGACTGTTCTATAGCTATATCAATCTGGGTTTTTTTACAGGACATGGACGAGTCTTCATCTGAAGAGGAGGAAGAATTACAGCAGAATATCGCTCTGCCTCGCCCCCCGGCGCCTGCTCCACCCCCTCCACCACCTCCCAGCGAGATACCAGCCCCACCCCTCCCTCCCATGCCAGATCAGGTGGTCGTTAGAAAGGATTATGATCCTAAAGGTAATTGTTACGTATCCTGACATGTACAGTTTGTGTCAGGAAGCTAAGGATTACTACTGTTTGGTCTATATTTTCAGTGAAAGGTGAAGGAATCAGATTTCAAGTACAGTGCAATAGGATTTAATGTTTCTCATATGTTCTAGGTTATGTTAGAAACAAGGGAGATAAGTTTGAGTTTATATAATAGATTTATTGTAAGACTGATAAACAAAAGTTGACCACAGTAATTTTCACTTGGACAGACATAATATATTTATTTGGTACACCATTAAGTTAAGGATACATTCAATTAACTTAAGCAATAATATGACCATGACTAACTTTCTTAATTGGACATATTAAACTCCGTTACAATCATTAGTGAAAGTCACTTTGTTGTTAAAAACAATTTGTAATCGCCGACCATTACAGTAGAACTTGTATGTACATTATAACACGTGTTGCTGTATAGTATGTAAAGTATCATGCATGCTCTAATACATGTAAACTTTGTATACTGTATGTGGATCACATGGTCAATGTTTTTTATCTACTTCCAGCTAAGTCTCTCCCAATAGACGATTTGTCCGACCAATACCTTATTTCTCCTATCACTGGCGAGAAGATTCTTGCCCACAAAGTACAGGAGCACATGAGGATCGGTAAGTATACTTTATATTGACTATAACTGATAAATACCTCATCACACTAGACACATGAGAATGACCGACTCTTATTGATAAATACCTTGACCATTTTCAGGCCAAAGTTTGGCCCCATTCGAAATGGAAAAATAATGTTATCTTTTTTCAGAATCCTCCTAACCCCATATTTTTTTTCAATTTTTGATCTTGTAATCAGATGAAAACGCAGCATCAAACATATAAAATGAAATGATCTCAAGAAGTCGTAACAACTTGTTATAAAAAGTAAACAATAAACAAGGCTGTTTTAGTCTTGAAGATGCTCTTTTGTAAAGAATCAGTTATCAGTATAATTCCAAAAACTTCTGACTGGTTTACTCTCACAATTTTCCTGATTCCAAAACCATAGGCCGACAGGTGCCATCTTGAATTTTTAGAAGTTAAGTTTGTTAGCGCTATTTCTCAGAAATAACTTAATGGAACTTTCTCATATTTAAGATAAAAGGCTCCCCATGGTCCGTATTTATGCACATCAAGTTTTGGGATCGATCGAAAAACTAAAATGGCCGTCAGGCACCATCTTGAACTTTAAGAGTAAAAGATTTTTCAGATTTTTTCTCAGAAATTACTGGAAGGATTTTTCTCAAATTTGATAGGTATGTTCGCCTTGGTCGGTAATTGTACCTTCGAGACTGATTGGATTAACAAAATGCCGGACAGACTGCCATTTGGGATTTTGACAGTGAAGGCTATTTCTCAGGAAGTACTAGAGCGATCTTTCTGATATGTAGGCTTTCCTTGGTCAGTAGCTGTGCTTGTTTACTTTTGAGACTGAGCGAATAAACAACTGGCTGACTGGTGGCCGTCTTGGATTTTGACAGTTTGTTATCACTATTTCTCAGAAAGTACTTGATTTCTCTTTCTCAAATTTGCTATGTAGGTTTTAATTGGTCCTTAATTGTGCATGTTTAATTTGTGACTGATGGAATAAACAAAATGGATAAAGGGTGGCCATCTGAAGTTTTGACAGTTACAATTTGTTATTGCTAATTCTCAGAAAGTAGTGGATGGATCTTCCTCAAATTTGATATGTGTGTAGGTTCCCATTGGTTGTTAGTTGTGGGTGTTTTATTTTGAGAGTGATCATAACAGCAAGATGACTGCAGGAAGAACTTCACAGATCTTTCTCATATTGCAATGATCAGTTCTATTTCTTCCACATTAAGTAGCATACTAGTAAATATGTGAAATGATAAACTCACAGTGAAGGTTGTCTTTCATACACAGCAGTATGAAGTCTAGATCAAGTTACCTCAAGGTGCATTAAAATGATATACATGACTTGATTAGACAGATAAAAGAAGAGAAAAGATCAAACTGACAAAGAACTAATGAAGATGGTACAATGGTGGGTGCCATGATCCCTCTGGGATCTGTTTGATGTTTTCTAATAGAAGCTAAATTAGAGCTAACCCATTGCCACTGTGTCATCAGTATTAAATTGCAGTTCTTATACTTTATATATTGTTATGTGTGAGTATGGGCTGCGTCATGTGTTTCATCCTTAAATTTCTTAATCAGGTTTGTTGGATCCGAAGTGGATTGAGGCACGTAAGAGGACAATCACAGAGAAGAGAGACCAGGAGGAAGTGTTCGCTCCGGGCTCGGCCATCGAGAGCAGTCTGAAAATGTTGGCTGAGAGACGTACTGACATCTTTGGTGCTGGTGTAGAGGAGACCCAGATTGGTAAAAAGGTGAAGAAAATTTCTTTCTGAACTCCAGTGGTATCAATTCATAAAGGTTTATTTTAATTTATGAGAAATGAGTTTTATTGAGAATGGTTTATAATAGACAATTTTACACAGTTTTGGATATATTAGTGTGAAATTTCATTCACAAATAGAGATTGGTGAAATTATGATACAAGTCTTATGTGTTTAAATTACCATTGGTAAAGAATTCTGATGACTTCTTGTTAACTATTAATAACGTAATTCAATGAAAGCTCACTGAAAATTGACTAAACAATTTCTGACAGTGTTAAGTAATATATGTCATTAACACTTGGTCTAGGCGAGAGGACTTATGTTCATGTATGTGAATACTTCTAACAATGTTACTCATCTAAACCAAACTCAGATTTATTAACTTATTTTTTGACTTCAGTTGGAAAGTAAACATAGTTTACCAAACAGCATCCTCCTGACAAGACGACACATGTGACATGTTTGATGGTTTATTTTACAGATTGGTGAGGAGGAGAAGAAAGAGAAGAAGGTTGTGTGGGATGGACACACAGCTTCCATGGAGAAGGTCACACAGAAGGCTCGGGAGAACATCACCATTGAAGAGCAGATCGCCGTCATTCACAAGGTCAAGGGCCTCCTGTACGTATCTATAGTCTTTTCCATCTGTGAATTAGTTTTAAGAGCAATATTGAATATTTGGTCCATCAAGCTGCATTCGAATTTGGCCTGATGACTTATTTAGGCAGACAGCGTTCTCTTCAGACCATTGTAGCTGGATGCAGCATCCAGTTATACAGTCCTAGTGATAGGTTATATTTCTATTTGAAAACAAAGTTATGCCTGAACACCAGGACTTCATTGGCCCTATGTATTCCTGATCGAACATGTTTGCTTTGATAATGTAATTCATCATCACTAAAATATCTTTTCAGTTCAACCTTAAACCAATATAGGCATCTCTACAATTTTCATCATACTATATTCAGCGAGGACAGAAAGAAGGGCATTTCTACATTGTATAAAACTGTTCTGTTTGACCTTGTAGACCAGATGAGGAGAAGGAAAAGATTGGACCAGCCATACCCAAGCAGCCTCCTCCTCCCAAAGCTGCACCACCACCTCCCCCTCCAAAATCCCAGCCCCCACCCCCACAGGTCAAGCCGTCGCCCATGCAGCAGAAAATGCCTCTTCGGCCCCCACAGCAGCACATGCCACAGCCTTTGATGCAGCAGCCACGTGGTGGCCTGATGGTGCTGCCACCCAGGCCACCAATGCCTATGGGTTAGTAAGCAATTCAGTCTTAATGATATATCTCAAACTAAAATGTTGATATATATATATATATATATAGCAGTCCAATGTTAAAAGAGAAAAAAAAAGAAGGAAAAAAAAAGATATTTCTTCAGGTACAATCATTCATGTATCGAAAATAAGAATAAATACCTTCATAGAAAAAATTACAAAATGTTAGATCCTGTTTATATGCTGGCTGATGATAGTATTAAACATTGCCATTAGAGTTAAACCTAATCTACCAGCAGATCAAGGTTCTAATACGTTGAAATGTTCCGATCACTGTCCAGACTTTTAAGTTGTAGCCGTTTTACAATGTGTTATGTTTTTTTATGAACAGGAATCCACCCACAGATGCACATGCCACAACATATGATGCCCGGCCCCCATGGTCCTCCCCATCCCCCAAATTACCCTCCGTCTCTGATGGGCAACAGACCCCCTGGTCCCCCACACAAGAGTCATCATCCACCCCCGCCCTCTATGGACGATGAACCTATGTCAAAAAAACAGAAAACAGAGGACCAGCTCATTCCAGAGGTGGAATTCCTCAAGAGAAACAAGGTAGGCTGCTGTTGGTGAACCTGGTCTCCTGACTTGTTCCTGAGTGTCAGTGTTTACTGTATTGATATTCTATAGAGATGGCCGGTAAAACTGTGTGAAATGTAATTAGTTGACCTTCTGATAGAGAATCAGTTACAGATATTGATTATTACCAGTGATAACATGAAATCTAAAGCTTGCAGATTTGTTCCAGAAATAACATTGCAGAACTTTGTCTCAACAAGAATTAAGGTCAACACCAGGGCTCATCAGCTGATCTCTTTCTTTCAAATCATTTTAAACAATTTTGAAATGTATGTAAAGTGTTGCTTTTTTCTCATGCTATTTTGTATGCTTTTTTCCCTGTTATTCCTGTCCTAACTACCCTTGACTTGTGTGTACTGCAGGGTCCAGTCACCTTTAAAGTGGTCATTCCAAAGGTCACAGACAAGGCAGAATGGAAGTTGAATGGACAGACACTGTCCTTCACACTTCCCCTCACCGACACGGTATGTATGATGGTCAAACTTAACTTGATACCTTGGTCAAACTTTATCAAATACACTCTTTAAGCCTTATCATTTACAAAAACCAGACTGTACAGAAAGGTATGGATGGAAAGGTATTGCAGATTTAATGTATGGGTGGTAGGGTAATTCAGATTCTACAGGGTGGTAGGGTAATTCAGATTCTACAGGGTGGTAGGGTAAGTTTGACTACAGACGTACATGGGTGGTAGGGTAAGTTTGACTACAGATGTACATGGGTGGTAGGGTAATTCAGATTCTACAGGGTGGTAGGGTAAGTTTGACTACAGACGTACATGGGTGGTAGGGTAATTCAGATTCTACAGGGTGGTAGGGTAAGTTTGACTACAGACGTACATGGGTGGTAGGGTAATTCAGATTCTACAGGGTGGTAGGGTAAGTTTGACTACAGACGTACATGGGTGGTAGGGTAATTCAGATTCTACAGGGTGGTAGGGTAAGTTTGACTACAGACGTACATGGGTGGTAGGGTAATTCAGATTCTACAGGGTGGTAGGGTAAGTTTGACTACAGACGTACATGGGTGGTAGGGTAATTCAGATTCTACAGGGTGGTAGGGTAAGTTTGACTACAGACGTACATGGGTGGTAGGGTAATTCAGATTCTACAGGGTGGTAGGGTAAGTTTGACTACAGACGTACATGGGTGGTAGGGTAATTCAGATTCTACAGGGTGGTAGGGTAAGTTTGACTACAGACGTACATGGGTGGTAGGGTAATTCAGATTCTACAGGGTGGTAGGGTAAGTTTGACTACAGACGTACATGGGTGGTAGGGTAATTCAGATTCTACAGGGTGGTAGGGTAAGTTTGACTACAGACGTACATGGGTGGTAGGGTAATTCAGATTCTACAGGGTGGTAGGGTAAGTTTGACTACAGACGTACATGGGTGGTAGGGTAATTCAGATTCTACAGGGTGGTAGGGTAAGTTTGACTACAGACGTACATGGGTGGTAGGGTAATTCAGATTCTACAGGGTGGTAGGGTAAGTTTGACTACAGACGTACATGGGTGGTAGGGTAATTCAGATTCTACAGGGTGGTAGGGTAAGTTTGACTACAGACGTACATGGGTGGTAGGGTAATTCAGATTCTACAGGGTGGTAGGGTAAGTTTGACTACAGACGTACATGGGTGGTAGGGTAATTCAGATTCTACAGGGTGGTAGGGTAAGTTTGACTACAGACGTACATGGGTGGTAGGGTAATTCAGATTCTACAGGGTGGTAGGGTAAGTTTGACTACAGACGTACATGGGTGGTAGGGTAATTCAGATTCTACAGGGTGGTAGGGTAAGTTTGACTACAGACGTACATGGGTGGTAGGGTAATTCAGATTCTACAGGGTGGTAGGGTAAGTTTGACTACAGACGTACATGGGTGGTAGGGTAATTCAGATTCTACAGGGTGGTAGGGTAAGTTTGACTACAGATGTACATGGGTGGTAGGGTAATTCAGATTCTACAGGGTGGTAGGGTAAGTTTGACTACAGATGTACATGGGTGGTAGGGTAATTCAGATTCTACAGGGTGGTAGGGTAAGTTTGACTACAGACGTACATGGGTGGTAGGGTAATTCAGATTCTACAGGGTGGTAGGGCAAGTTTGACTACAGACGTACATTCGAGTTAGGTTAATCCACTCTACGGAAATATGTAGGAGGTAGGATTATCCAGATTCTTTAGAAATGTAAGGGTGGAGAAATAACTGAAACTAGATGAATATATATTGATGGTAATGTAATCTAGACTGTAAAAACATATGGGTGGTATAGGCTAATTAAAAATCTACAGAAATATTCAGGATAGAGCAGACTCTGTACATTACAGGCTATAGATTTTGACAACTTTTTTTACCACTTACACCACATGTATGGTTAAAACTCACAAATCCTATTGATAAAAGATACTTTAGATATTACATGGTATTCATGCTTCCTTTAAAATCAAATCAGCTAAAAGATACATACTGTATACCGGAAATACAATTCCTGCATTTTAACTTTCACCTTTTACCCCCTGAGGGTGAATTTATTCTGACAGCGAACTTTAAAACACAGCATATTGAGTAAGTCATTACATGTGAATGCTGAGATGAACATTTGGCGGGTATGGAATTTAACCCTTTCAACACTGTAAACCATTATGAACTCATCCATATCAATGCATGGTAGAGTCTACTAAAGGTACATAGGGGTGAAAGGGTGAAATTTGACTGGGTGAAACTTTCCTGGTATACAATACGTAAATTTTAATAGAGAAGGAATCCTACTTAAGCTTACAGTAACACTTCTACGTAAAAAATGTTGAAAATATATCAATTGCATTTATACTTTATTAAAACCCTTTCACCCCTATGTAACTTTAGTAGACTCTACTATGCATTGATATGGATGAGTCCATTATGGTCTGCAGTGGTGAAAGGGTGAAAGTGAATTGGAATACTGTACATGCTGTAATAGTGCTCACATCTTGAATTCAAGTTTCTTCAAACACTAGTTTCTATAATTATTAAAAACTGGTATTGATACGTTTTTTCTAATGATGCGTAGTATCATTTAGGGTTTAAATCTGCATCTGGAGTAAAAAGGAACTGGCGAAAACAAGTTCATTACACATGTATATTGACAGGTTTACGTCACCTTCACACTGTTATAATGATTTGTTTTCAGATTTCTGTAATGAAAGCCAAACTGAACGAGAGTCTGGGACTCCCGGCGGGAAAACAGAAGTTGCAGCACGAGGTAGACTTTGTGGCAATTAAATTGAATGAAATATTTCTAAACAGCTGCAAACATGGGTTACATATCCTAGTGATGATAATTTCATGCTATTGCATTTGAAAGCAGTGATAAAGATATTACTATGAGAAATTCCTGTAATCCTGCATGTTATTGATTACTCTAGCCCTAACTCCTGATTCATGCAACTTAAAAATTGTAACCAGTTTGCTAGTATAAGAATGTGCTTTTATAATTCAAGTACTGTATATTTACACAATATATATATCATAATGATGATTGAGTTTTATATTAGGATCTAAATGTAAAAAAAAACATTGATGCAATAAAGGCAATGTCGTAACTTTTCACAGCAGATTCAAACTTTCTGACTTTAATAACATTTTATGAAATATGATTTTGTTTTAATCAACAGGGAATTTTCATGAAAGACTCCAACTCGCTGGCTTACTACAATTTCATGAAAGGCGCGACTGTTCAGCTACAACTGAAGGAAAGAGGAGGACGTAAGAAGTAGAAACCTGACCATCTACAGCAGAACTGTTTACAGACCGTAGTGGCAGTAATGAAAGAGAATCATTATCCATATAGTTTTCATGAAAAATTGAGTAAGCTGTTGTGTCAGCAACAAAGACAGAAGATAGAACTGTAGGTTTGTGTTGTGTTTGAGTTTGCTTGTAGACCTATAGCAACGTCACTCCAGGTACATTATGTAAATATTTCTTTATTTGCAATTAATTCAAACACAATTTATCCAAGTTGACACATTACAAGTCAAATGTAAATACTCATTGTAAACCAAAGCTTAATTCATTCAGTTCATAAAATAGAAAGGTTATGGGACAGATTCCTTTATCACAGGTAAAGCATGTGTTTGGGAGGTAAATGATAATTCCAGTGGTTGACCCCAACCCATTAACAGTAGATAAAGGAATCCAATCCCTGTCTCCCACCCCTTATCACTGTGCTAAATCTCTACCTGGCTATCGGAGCCAGACACAAAGATGTCCTCCTGTTGTATATAATATACCTTATCTTTTACTTTTGCTTTGGTTAAATAGGGAATGGTGATTGTTCAGTTATTTCTGAGAATGCAGTTGAAATATTATGATCAGGTCCTCGCAACCTTATCTCACCTTTGAACTCAGATGCAAAATTGTATTTTTGTATGGAATTCAGACTTATAGGTACATAAGAAGGCACAGTGTCCCATTCAAAAAATGGAACACAGCAATGTCAATTTGACCTTTCCCTCAATTACCAAAATGCAGGTTTCCAGGCATCATCATATTCTTGTAGGGAGATAATACTTGGTACGCATGTGCATTATAATGAAGCAGTGGCTGGTGAACCAGTATGGGGTCACTACATGGTGAACCAGTATGGGGTCACTGCATGGTGAACCAGTATGGGGTCACTGCATGGTGAACCAGTATGGGGTCACTGCATGGTGAACCAGTATGGGGTCACTGTAACTTCGGTTCTTTATTTTGTCATATAAAAGTTGGTTGCAGGGTTAAATTATTCACAAACTCAAAAGGTAGCTAGTAGTTTTATTCCTGATAATGTTGTATAAACAAATTTGTTTGCATCAAAAGCTTTGTTGATTTGTTTAAACTGAATGTCACAGACGCAACTAGAAGTATCTTGCACATATCTTATATATATTTGATGTCATTATGTCATTGTTTATATCATGATGTTGTATATAAATAAAATAATTGAAATGTATTATGTTGTTACAATTTTATATATATTTAGAAATTCACTTTTTTATAACTTAGAAAAAAGCCAGTGTTGTCAGAAGTAATTAGAGGTTGGGGTTTGGTGAGGATCCAGAGGGGGCTGTCCAGGGTGATCCCTCTCCGCTACTTCTGTCTAGGTTTCATCCGGAGTTCTTTCCCATGAACTATTAGCATTTGTAATTTAATTCTTAAATGTTCCACTTGTTTATAGATTCATGTTAAAGTTGTTTTCCTTCGTATGTGTGACATATAATACATGATAGACTTCATCATGATGGGTGAGACAGGTGTTGTTGTTGTCTATGTAAGAACACATATAAACACTCTAGTTGGAGGTTTCTATTTTATTGAGTGCTAGGTTGGTTTCCTATGTATTATTGTCCCTATGGCTGTACATAACATATTTTTGTTAGAATAATGACTGTCCATGATGAATACATTTCTCCTATCAACAAGCTCTTAATCATGAAATAGAAAGGAAATAACTTTACAATGCATATTTCAAATTCTTGAAAGATGAACAAGTTAAAAATTGACAGAATTTTCACAACTTTGACCCATGTGACCTTTAAGGAATAACAATGATTATTTTTGGAGTGATATGGAAAAGGCTGCGATTTGCATTAAATGCTCAAGGACAATTAAAAAATAAAATAATCAACTTTGCACAGTAATTTCATTGCCAAGCAAATACCCAGCCAAAACTGTTAAAAAATGACCTCATCACTTTCTATGTCTTCTAATTTTACACGTATGATACAAAGTTTCCTTAAATTAATTCCCTTGACTTTTTTTAGCTCACCTGGCCCAAAGAGCGAAGTGAGCTTATGGCATGGTGCGGCGTCCGGCGTCCGTCCGGCGTCAACATTTTACTTTTAACAACTTCTTCTGAATAACCAAGAGGCCCAGGCTGACGATATTTTGCCAGTATCATGCTGGGATGAAGGGCTACCAATTTTGTTCAAATAAACAACCTTAACCCCCCATCAAGGTTACAGGGGTCAAATATGTTAAAATCTTCAAACAACTTCTCAATAACTAAAAGGCCCAGGGTACTGATATTGGGCCCGTAGCATGCTGGGATGAAGGGCTACCAAGTTTGTTCAAATGAATGACCTTGACCAACTTTCAAGGTCACAAGGGTCAAATGTCTTAAAATCTTCAAACAACTTCTTCTCAATAACCAAAAGGCCCAGGGTACTGATATTGGGCCTGTAGCATGCTGGGATGAAGGGCTACCAAGTTTGTTCAAATGAATGACCTTGACCCACTTTCAAGGTCACTGGTGTCAGATGTCTTTAAAATCTTCAAACAACTTCTTCTCAATAACCAAAAGGCCCAGGGTACTGATATTGGGCCTGTAGCATGCTGGGATGAAGGGCTACCAAGTTTGTTCAAATGAATGACCTTGACCCACTTTCAAGGTCATTGGGGTCAGATGTCTTTAAAATCTTCAAACAACTTCTTCTCAATAACCAAAAGGCCCAGGGTACTGATATTGGGCCTGTAGCATGCTGGGATGAAGGGCTACCAAGTTTGTTCAAATGAATGACCTTGACCAACTTTCAAGGTCACAAGGGTCAAATGTCTTTAAATCTTCAAGCAACTTCTTCTCAATAACCAAAAGGCCCAGGGTACTGATATTTGGCCTGTAGCATGCTGGGATGAAGGGCTACCAAGTTTGTTCAAATAAACGACCTTAACCCACTTTCAAGGTTACAGGGGTCAAATATGTTAAAGTCTTCAAACAACTTCTTCTCAATAACGAAAAGGCCCAGGGTACTGATATTAGGCCTGTAGCATGCTGGGATGAAGGTCTACCAAGTTTGTTCAACTGACTGACCTTGACCACCTTGCAAGGTCACAAGGGTCAAATGTCCTTAAATCTTCAAGCAACTTCTTCTCAATAAGCAAAAGGACCAGGGAACTGATATTGGGGTCTGTAGCTTGCTGATATGAAGGGCTACAAAGTTCGTTCTAATGAATGCCCTTGACCAACTTTAAAGGTGACGGGACAAATGTCTTAAAATCTCCAAACAACTTCTTCTCAATAACCAAGAGGCCCAGGGTACTGATATTTGGCCTGTAGCATGCGGGGATGAAGGGCTACCAAGTTTGTCCAAATGAATGACCTTGACCAACTTTCAAGGCCCCAGGGGCCAAATGTCTTTAAATCTTCAAACAACTTTTTCTCAATAACCAAAAGGCCCAGGGTACGATAATGGGCCTGCAGCATGCTGGGATGAAGGGCTACCAAGTTTATCCAACTGAATGACCTTGACCAACTTTAAAGGTGACGGGTCAAATGTCTTAAAATCTTCGAACAACTAATTCTCAATAACCAAAAGGCCCAGGGTACTGATATTGGGGTCTGTAGCTTGCTGAGATGAAGGGCTACAAAGTTCGTTCTAATGAATGACCTTGACCAACTTTCATGGTCACAGGGGTCAAATGTCATAAAATCTTCAAACGACTTCTCAATAACCAAAAGGCCCAGGGTACTAAAATTGGGCCTGTAGCATGCTGAGATGAAGGACTACCAAGTTTGTTCAAATGAATGACCTTGAACCTCTTTCAACCTAATGTCCCTGTTCGACCTTCAAGGTCACAGGCATCATATGTTTAAATCTTTTGATAGGTTCTTATGAATCATACACTGATATTCTGCCTGTAGCTGTATCTTAGTCCACTTTTAAGATTACAAGTGTGAGAATGATACCAGGTGAGCGATGCAGGCCCATATGGCCTCTTGTTTAAGATCACAAGGGTCAAATATGTTTTAACATTCAACAACATCTTTTGAATAACCAAAACGCCCAGGACGATGATACTTGGCTAGTAGTCAGCATTGATGGAGTGTTATAATTAGTTCTCAAATAATTAACTTGACCATCAAGGTCATGATAGGGGTCAAATATTTTTAAAAAAATACTTTAAATGTTTTTTCTGATTTACGAAGAGTTCTAGGTTAAGATATTTGGCAAGTAAAATACTAGGATGGGGAGTGATGATAGTTCCTCAAAAATTTACCCAGGGTAATGATATTTGACCAGTAGGTATCTGACGTGATACTTTTAATGTCACAGTGGTCAAATATGTAAAAAGCTTTAAATACCTTCTTCAGAATGAGCAAGAGGCCCTGGGTAATGATATTTGACCAGTAGGTATCTGATGTGATACTTTTTAAGGTCACAGTGGTCAAATATGTAACAAGAGGCCCAGAGGGCCTGTATCGCTCACCTTTTTCTTTTGTTAGATGCAACTGACATATAGGTAACTTAAGACCAAATTTGGTAACTAGAACGCAAGACATTTTAACATCTCTTAAACGGTTCTGAAGATATTGTTGTTTGAAGTTTTTAACATATTTAACCCCAGTGACCTTGAAAGTAGGTCAAGGTCATTTTAAAGAGGAAACTTTATAGCACTCCATCCCAGCTACCTACTGGCCAAATATCATGACCCTGGGCCTTATGGAACTTGAGAAGAAGATTATTAAAGATTTTAACCAAAGGTAATATTTGAACCCTCCACTAGCATTTAAAGTTGACCTTTGACCTCATAACTGTAACTGAGAAAAATATTCGCAATGCTGGTCTACATATTATACCCAAGTATCATGACTCTAGTTCAAATGGTTCTTAGGATATTGTTGTTTGAAATTTTAACATATTTGACCACTGTGACCTTGAAAGTAGGTCAAGGTCATTTTAATGAGGTAACTTTATAGCAGTCCATCCCAGCTACCTACTGGCCAAATATCATGACCCTGGGCCTTATGGAACTTGAGAAGAAGATTGTTAAAGATTTTAACCAAAGTTGACATTTGAACCCCCCACTAGCATTTAAAGTTGATCTTTGACCTCATTACTGTAACTGAGAAAAATATTCGCACTGCTGGTTTACATAACATACCTAAGTATCATGACTAGTTCAATTGGTTCTAAGGAAATTGTTGTTTGAAAATTTTCACATATTTGACCGCTGTGACCTTGAAAGTAGGTCAAGGTCATTTTAATGAGGAAACTTTATAGCACTCCATCCCAGGTACCTACTGGCCAAATATCATGACGCTAGGTCCTACAGTTCTTCATGACGTGATACTTTTTAAGGTCACAGTGGTCAAACATGTAAAAACCTTTCAATACCTTCTTCAGAATGAGCAAGAGACCCAGGGAAATGATATTTGACCAGTAGGTATCTGACGTGATACTTTTTAAGGTCACAGTGGTCAAATATGTAAAAACCTTTGAATACCTTCTTCAGAGTGAGCAAGAGACCCAGGGTAATGATATTTGACCAGTAGGTATCTGACGTGATACTTTTAAGGTCACAGTGGTTAAACATGTAAAAACCTTTGAATACCTTCTTCAGAATGAGCAAGAGACCCAGGGTAATGATATTTGACCAGTAGGTATCTGACGTGATACTTTTAAGGTCACAGTGGTTAAACATGTAAAAACCTTTCAATACCTTCTTCAGAATGAGCAAGAGACCCTGGGTAATGATATTTGGCCAGTAGGTACCTGGGTTGAGTTTCCTCATATAAGATCTCTACCTACTCTCGAGGTAACATGTGTCAAATGTTCATTTAAAAAAAAAACACCACCTAAACAGCTTCGGCCAAGTCAAAAGACCTAGGGTGATTGTATTTGCTATAAGCATGCTTGCATGCAGTGCTATGGACATTTTCGAAAATATGACATTGACCTTCTTTCAAGTTCACAATCGTCATATGTGTTAAAAATCTTTAAAAAAAATATCTGAATAACCAAGAGGACTACGATTATGATATAAAGCAAATAGCATACTAGGATGAAGTGTTTCTAAGTTTGTTAAAATTAATTACTTTGAGCTACTTTGAATGCTGCAGGCGTCAAATATTTAACTTCTGAATAACTGGGCATCCTCGATACTCCAGGGGTTACACTCACCCTCACTCTCTGCACCCCTGGAATATGTCAGGCACTAAGATAACTG